CCTTTTTTGAAGATTTTTTTAAAGCCCTTTTATTATCCATGGGTCACTCAAGTGTTTAAAATAAAACGTTTTCTTGGTCTTCGGAAAATATTTTTTGTGTCGTTTCGTAAAAAATCAGCGTATAAAAAGATTATATGCATTATTCTCACTGCTGCATTCAGCCATGAGTTCCTAACTGGTTTCATATATTCATATATGAATTCGCCGAATTTTATTTATAGAATTGTTATTTATCGAACGTGGGTTGTAAAGGAATTATTATCTTCGGTTATCATAAGTTTTGAAAAATGGTCACTGATATCGGATTTTATGATATCACTTTCGATTTTATAATATTGTCGATGATTGATGATGTTAAAAGAGAGTTTCCCAGTGGGCACGGACGTAAAAAAGACGTCTTTTAAACGTCTTATAAACGTTTTGGACGTCTTTTGAACATCTTTTGAACGTTCAAAAGACGTCTTTATTTGATCTGGTGTCCACTGGGTCCAGTTGTAAACGCAAAATGTCTCAAGTAAAAAAATATTCTTTTTGAAGAATATTTTCTTTATGCAAATAAATATGGTAAACAAAAGTATCTAACTTTTCATAGAATTTTTATTTAAAAAATATCACCAATTCATATTGTTCAAATATATCAAAAAAATATATTGTTCATCATTGTACAACCAAACATTTAACGGCACTTTTCCTATGAAAAATTAAAGGTTTAGTTAAGACAAAATAATTAACGCTAAAAATAATACTTGTAACAAAATTTTGTTAAAAACGTTATTTATTTATTGGACAATCTTCAGCGCTCTATCAAATGGTAATAAAAAAGTAGTAGAGAAGTTATCTTTCGTATTGCATCAGGGAAAAGAGCAAATGTTATCAAATAAAAAATATATTGAAATTGTATGAAGGAGAGGATATACCAAACAATTTTTTTTTTTTTGCTACCAAACAATTTTTTTTTTTCGTTTTAGATGTTTAGAATAAAAGAAAATTTCTTTTATTCTAAACATTTAAAACGGCGAACTAAATCTCACAAACAAATCAAAAACTAAAATATTCTTTAATAATAACAAACACTCTCTTATGAAAAACATGTGAACAACTAAAAAAATCATCTAACAAGTTTTTAAAAAAGCAACGCCACAAGCAAGAGTCAACTTACGTTGAGAAAATGCAACCTAAGCTCTTGAGCAAGTTAAAAAAACAATTATCTGTTTTTAAAAAAATATTTTACTTAAAAGCGCAATACCAAACTGAGCTAACCATGTCAAAAACTTCAATAATGTTAAAATGAACACAATGAAATTAGAATTGCAAATTCTAACATCTAGTGCAACATTAGTCCACTTCCGCTATGCTATCTTTCTCACTCTACCTTTTCTGATTTTCACTCTAATTCTTTCGTTCTTCTTAAAATCACTTACTCATGGTCTGCGAAGCGGGTTATGATGCTCTTTAATGAGCTGAACTCGTCTTTGCAGGCCTTGGTAATATGGCCTCTGTATGGCAATTAGCCAGAGGAGGATAAACCACAATACCTATACCTAAATTGAGCTAACCACATTTTTTTTTTTATAACAGAATTTCTGTTAAATAAAACGATTTTCCAAAGTTAAAAACGTTTTTTATTATTTGCTTTTATTGTGTATTTATTTTTAAAACCTTTAAGCTTTTTTTTTTGGCAAAATACGGAATATCAGACCTTATACTTTAGGCAGCCTATGATAGGGATTTCTTTTACAAATGTACAATTTTTTTGTCTTCTTCAATTATAACCAGTTCTAAATAAATTTAAATAAAATAGTAAATGTGACGAAATTAGGGTTGTTCGCCGTAAACGAAAACTTACGAAAATTTCGCATTTTCGCATCTTCCGTATTTCAAGTTGCTATTGCGGAATTTGTACATTAAACACCAGTGATTTTTAACTTTTTTTTGAAATTGCAATTACTTCAAGCTGGAGTACCTTCTTTAGACCATAAAAACATTATGGAAAAATATAAAAGCTTTAGGTATTTCCGATTCTATCTTATTTGGACTTATATTTATTATACATTATCATTAAAAAGTAAAAATTTTAAGAGGTCACACAATAAATATTTGAAACGTTAACGCACAAAAACTTTTATGAATGTATTGTTTATAAGGATAATTTGTATAAATAATTTCAACTTAAATTTTTAAGGTTGTTTTTAGGGTGTTGGAAAAATAGTTATCATAACTTAAACAATAAGCGGTTTTCAATAATCATTAGCCATTAACTGAAAAACGGATTTAAACATAAGCAACAATATTGTTGTTACAGCACTTTTTATCAGGATTTATTCTAATATACAGAAGCAAAAAAAGAAAACTATTTTTACGGGTGGTGACTAGATGGCGGGGCAGGTGTTAACAATCCTCCCCCCCCCCCACTCACCCAAAAAAACAAGATTTTATTATGTCCCTTTTGACTACTACTAATGATATTATACTTTTACTGCTGAACCAAATTAATAATAATAATAAACAAATTAATAAATTTTCCACTAGCATCAGAAGTCATTTTCACTGCTCTTTCAACCGTTTGTGAGTGGCACGGAAAGTTGGGAGCCTTTCCCTGATTCGGAATCATATTCAAAAGCTCCTCATTTGATATATCTTCCACACAAGGGGGCTCAGTCTATATCATACAAATTTATTTATTTTGACCAGTTTTTACATCTTCAATCAATAACTGGAATGACATAAATTATGGGCAATGTAATAATTTGAACTTCAGTATCCAACCTCAAAATCCAATGAATAAATTGGAAAATGAGTTAAGGACCCTCTCTGAAACTTTTAGACTTTTTGATATTAAACCACATAGGAGTATATACTGTTTGAATATATTCAACAAAGATTTTGAGCTCTTTACTGGGATTAATTGTTCTTGTGTATAGTACCAAAATCCATACTGCTGTTGTTAGCCACCTTGCACGACAAATAGGGCCTAAAAATATAATCTTTTATAAATTAATTAATAGTAATTATAAATTATATAAAGTAATTATAATATAAGTAATTATAATATAAGTAATTATAAATTATATAAAGTAATTATAATAAAAATTAATTAATAGTATAATTTAATAGTAAATTATATATTAATAAATATATATTTACATAAACTTCAAACAAACAAAATAAAAGGAAAAATATTAGGAACAAATGAAAACCCTCTAGAAAAAGGGTTTTCAGAGTTTTTTATCATTATTTAAAAAAAAATGTTCATATGTTGCAATACTGAAAATAAAATTTTATTATAAATATTTGGTATATAAAAACTTTATTTTTGACAATTATATCCGTTTTGTCAACAAAATTTTTTTATAGACTTTAAAACGTCGTTTAGCGAAAAAGTTCGTTTCGCAAGTGCGACTTCCGTAAGCGCTACTTTTGTATGTAGCAATTTTTTTTTTTTTTTTTTTATACAAATATATAAAGTTAAAAAGTTGATAATTGAAGATTATGTTAAAATATTGATAGAAATTAAATAAAAATAAAGAACGCGGAAACTCAAAGAAGACTTAGAGGTCTTGCGATGAGAACCGCTAAAGTTTGACGCGTCAATAAAAGTTAATGTAGTCTCATACAATGCGACTTCTTCTTTTCAGTATATCACAATTTTTGTGACGAATATTTCATTTTTCTTCAAAATTATTATTTTCTTTAACCATTGTAAAACACCTTGTAAATGTGTTATTAAATCAGACTATCTTTTTTTTTCGTTATTTTTTTATAAGTATATCTTGATTGTCTTTGTCGAATATTGATTCGTATATCACGACTGTCTTGTCGAATTTTTAATTAAAAGATTTTTATTGACATATGGTGAATATATTCCACTTTATGGTTTGTAAAATTTCTTCTTTGATCCACGTGCAGCAACTTTGAACAATATCAGCCGTTTTAGGCAAGTAGGTTAGTTTGGATTGTCGTACTAGTCACTTACGCGTATGAACATAAACAATATTATATGTGCATATAGAACGTTTGTATGAACACAAGTAAACACATTGACATATACAAAAAAAAAACATACATACATATTACATACATACACACATACATACATGTGCACATACATACATACACTCATACATACATAAATATATATACATACATATACACACACACATATACACATAGACATACATACGCGCACACACACACACACACACACACACACACACACACACACACAGATATATATATATATATATATATATATATATATATATATATATATATATATATATATATATATATATATATATATATATACACGCATATACATGTATACGCACGCACAGGTGCATACACACATACACATAAATAAACACACTCATACACAATATATTTTACAAAGTATATTTCACTAAACTATATATAACATTATTCAAGAAAAAATTCGCAGAATTAATACATAAGAACACAGTATATGTTTACAATATATTATAACTTTAACAATAAAGTATTTTTCTGAAAAACACAAAATAAGAAAACTTAAAATCAAAATTAAAAAAACCCAGATATTTCATCAATTGAAAATATAATATTTTTTAGGTTTCGTTTAAAGGAGTGATAACTACATTTCTTGAAAATATCAAAATTTTTTGAAATTATTTTATTTCGTAATTCAACTTGCGAAAGGCTACTTTGCGTAAGTAGCATTTGCGAAATGAACATCGACGGGTTTTTTTGTTTCGTAAAATTCGGTACGAAAAAAAAAATTCCTGATTCTCGATATCCTTCCGAAAGAACTTTATTTTTCCGGAATTGTACGAAATTTTCCAGTTAACAACTCTAGACGAAGTATTAACTTGATTAATATAATATCTTTTTTAATACCTTAATTAATATAAAGTTATTTATAAATTGTTTCTGACAAAACTATCTTTAGAAAATGTTACAACTATGGGGGTAAAACTAGGGTATATACAAACAAAAACTAGGGTATAAAAAAGAAAACTAGGGTGTAAACAAAAAATAAATAAATGATAAATCTATATTTTTACACTCTTGTATTTCACTTGTATTCGATGAAAATTTTAACGTTTTACAATAAATTTATTGATTTAAATCTTTGTGTTTATGAAAACAATAATTTTCTTTAAAAATTTGATGGATATAGAATCGGTTAACCATGGAAACCATTTGTTTCTAAAATTAAAAAAGTAACTAACATCTTAGATAACAAAACTCCATCATGTCGCTTGACGTGTGTACATTATTTGTACAAATGATGCGTGTACTTCATTTGTAAAAATATATAGTTCTAATACTTTTTTGATTAATAATGTATCAAAATGTTTGACAAGTATAAGTAAATTATGCGTATTTTCGCGCCATTTTTTCGGAAGATTTGAACTTCCAGAGTTTGCAATTTAGGTACGGATGATGCGTATTAATATAAAAACTTTTTTATGAGCTGAATCTAAAACTTTTAGAACTTTCTCGTTTATCTCGTAAACTACCGTAGCTATACCTAATGTAATTCGAGTCTTTAGTTTCCATTGTTTGAGTTTCCGAAATACTTCTAGCTCTCTCAGAGACTTCATGGTTCATACCATTTTTTCCATTTAACTGATATTTAAATACTGGATCTGGCTCTTTATTACCATTATAATTTATGTGCAAAGAGTTTTGGGCAGAAGTCTTATATGATGCCTCGGAGTAATTAGGGGATAACAATAAAGGAGAAATTAATGGAATACTTTTATCAAAATAAGGTTTCTGAATATAATTTTTATCACCTGCTTGAAACGTATTGCTAAGAGAAGGAGCAGAAGAAAATTTTATACTTTTACAATTTGAATTTTGATATAATGTGTTCGAATTATTGAAACGAATTTGAATACTAAGAGAATCCTTCTCATCTGGTTCTCGAATTTTGTTTGATTTAAAATCAGATACATTCTCGTTGAACAAAAAATTTTCAGTATCAAATGATCGAACTTTTGATTCATGAGATGCATCAATTGCTTTTAATCCAGGGTAAACATCTATCACATTTAACTCAGGTAAAACGTTTATTTCGTTTGATTCCAGAAAAACATAAGAACTTTTGGATGGACGAATTAACATTGATGTAAACGAATTTAAATTCTAAAAAGAAAAAAGCCATTTAGAAAGTAATTATGTAAAAAAAAAAAAAAAAAAAAAGTAGATAGCATTTTTATGGAGATAACAAATGCTTAAAGATTTGAAATCCAAACATTTTTTTTACATTTAAAATTACTTTAGTTATAATTTTATGAATATATTATAAATAACTTGATAAAATTAAAAAAAATTTGAACGCTTTAGAAAGAAGCATGAACACTAAGCGTTCATATTACTTTCCAAGTGTATATACTTTGACAAATTCCCAGAAAGTTCTATAGAATTTTCTATAAACTTTTTAAGCATATGGCCTATAGAAATTCTATAGAATTCTATTGAATTTCTATAGAATTTATGTTAACTTTTATAAAAATTTCCATAGAAATTTTTTTTTCTATTTTTTTTTTTATAGAAAAAAAGTTTTATAGCAATTTCTATAAAAAATAATAGACATTCTATAGAAATTCTATAGAGTTTCTATAGGCCATATGTTTCAAAAGTTTATAGAAAATTCTATAGAACTTTTTTTCCTGGGGTGATTTTATTAATTAAAATTTAATATAATATAATATAATAGAAAGCTGTAGTAGTTCGAAAACTACGAGTGAAACTAATAGTAATTAATTTCACTTTGACAGCATATACATTGTGTAGTTATTCTAGGTAAATAAATAAAATTATAAATTACAAATCATATAGCACTAGATATTTATCAATGCGAGTTTTGAATAAGTTCAAACTTTCACTTTTATAAATTAAATAAAGAATCTTTAGATCGCAGCCTTAAGAGTCTAAAAATAATAAAGATGATGTAAGATATCTAAATTGCTCAGCTGGTTGGAAAAATTCAACTTTGAAAATGAAATTAAGGAGAGCAATCAAATGAAAATTAAATTAAGGAGAGCAGTCAAAATTTAATTCTTTTAAAGGTTATTTAAGGCCTTTTAAGGAAGATTTTTTTTTCCAAATATTTAAGGTATTTAAGGTGGGAACCCTGGAAATAACACTCTATATATTATACACTCTTTAATGAAATACTCTGTAAATATACTCTGTAAACAGACACTCTACAGATACTCTACAGATACTCTGTAAATATATACAAAATACTTTTATAGAGCTAGGAAAAATATGAAAGTCAACTTATTGAAATGTCAAAGAATAATTGTAAAATGTTAATTCATTATATAAAGAATCAGAAAACTCTAAAGCGTTTTAGCAATACAAAAAATGATGTTCTCTGTAACAAATGATTTGAAAGAAATAGGTAATTACCTATTTCCTATTTAAATAACAAATTTCATAAGTATTTTTTTAGTGAAGAGCCAGGAGAACTCCCTGAGTTTGGTATGAGAAATGATGAAAATTACTTGATATTGAGTATCTTCCTATTATATATGATCAAGCCTGCAAAAGATTAAATAAACTAAATTCAGATTGATTGTGTGGAACAAATACATACAACCATGTTTTCATAATAACTGAACAGACAGACCTTTATTTACTATTTTCTCTAAGTCATTACAATGCGGTTCTTTACCTATTCTATGGAGATTGGCTGTTACTCCTCTTTTTTATAATGGAAGTAAATTACATCTTTGAAGCTATTGGCCTATCTCTTTGGCTAAAGTACCGTAAAAGTAATCTGAGAGCATAATTAGTGACTCAGTTATAAAACATATGATGGAAAACAATCATCTTTTGCCCTGTCAACATGAATTAGTGAAGTCATGCACGAAGCTACTTACAGTTTTAGATTATAGTTTGCATTAATTTTTTTTTTGTTTGTTTTGACCTCATAGCAGACTGATTAAAAAATTAAAAAGGCATCAGCAGTATACTGTTAAAAATAAGGGCATCACTGATAAACAGCTAATGAGATTTGAAGTTTTTTTTAAAGATAAAAGAAAATGTTTTTAACAAGGTAAAGTAGTTTTTGAGTGGAGAAAGATTGTAAGCAATGTGCCATAGGGATTGGGAGTGATTGGGGCTATTTTATTTGTAATTAATGACTCATTAATGACTCAGCAGAAAACTTTGAAAGTAACTTGAAACTTTACGCGGATTATACAAAAATAATTTGCATGGTAAAGATAGAGATGATGCTGAATTATTACAATAGATTTAAAAAGACCGTTGAATGTCAAAGGTTTGGCATTTTAAAATTAATAATGACAAGTGTGTAGTTATGCATTTGGATTATAAAAATGTTATTTATGAACACTCAATGGATGGTGAAGAATTTAAAGTATGACGATTGAAATGTTTTAATTTTAGGGCTTTTTTGTTCCCAGGCTCCAAACATTGTAATTTTTTGCAAAGAATCCTTATTTGACTTGAATAATACCATACATATATTTTGAGTTTGCTCCACATCTATGGAGCTAAGTTAGTTATGTAAAACATCAAAAAATGCTGCAAAAATGTCTGTTTTCAATTTTGATATTTTGATAAGATGAAGATTTGTGAAGAACAACCATATGAGTATATGTATAACTAGCAAAAAATACTTTTGTGTAAACAAATCAATATAAAAAATAACAGTAAATTCAAAAAGTCGTTTATATCATCTGATAATAAAATAACAAAAGACACAAAGACTTAAAATGTTTTTCATCGTCTCAGATTTGTCTTTCTTTATTATCTCAGATTTCTTTATCATCTCAGATTTGTCTTTCTTTATTATCTCAGATTTCTTTAATATCTCAGATTTGTTTTTTTGCCACAATATTACTGAACACCACCATATATTGTATTAATTATTAAAAAAACAAATATTCATGGATATAATACAAATTATTGAAACAAAGTAACAACTTAATAAGATAAAACCATTATTTTGATACTAATATAATAAAGATACCATTACATAAGAATTATGAGAAATTTAACATTTAATTCAATTTTTAATTTAAAACAATTTAGTAACACAACTTGGATAGATGAAACAATGTTTTTTGTTCTTCAACAAATATCTAATATATGAATCATTTAAGTTATCATGATAATAAAATAAATTGTATAATAATAAAATATAATTTTGAACAAAACAATCTTACATCTTAGTCAACAATTTAGTTATATCCCTGAACAACCTATTTATTAATTTAGTTATATCCCTGAACAACCTATTTATTAATTTAGTTATATCTCTGAACAACCTATTTATTAATTTTATTATTATTATTAATTAATATAAATGATTCAAAAATTAATTACGATATTTTTCTTTTTTTCTTTATTCTCATAAAAAAGTGAATGAGGAGCAACATTATTCCATGATAAACTTCTTTTACTTGGTTCTTCATTTAAAATTCTACTTTTTCTTTCTAGCTTTGTTTGACGATGAAAAGAACTATCAAAATAAAAAATAAAAATATTTCAAACTACATGAAACTAAAGTTCCACCACCAGTCTTACACATGCTGGTTGTTTAATATAAATTAATTTTAATGACTAAATTAGGATATACATTTATTTTATTGTTAAATAGTTCAACCTTATTTACTAATGATAATAGTAAATTCAACTTTTTATATAAAATATGCTGTTATTATTTAAAAGTTTTAATGCATGTGGAGATAATAAGATTAAAATCTAATGCATGTGGAGATAATAAGATTAAAAAAATTCTATCAAGATTCAATAACCTATTTGAACAATAATTCTGTCATTATACAATTTTAATGGAAATATTTTTTTTTTTTTAATTTTTACCAAATGATGCAAAGCTTACAAATGTACATCTGAGTGTTTACATGCCATAAAAATCTGAGTGTTTATGTGTCATAAATATTTTTTAAAAGGTTAAAAAAATTTACATGAAATCAAAGTACTTAGTTAAGTTTTCAGAAGGATCATTTGTATAATTTGGAAGTTCTGTGATTTGATTGGAATGTGAAGATTTTTGGCTTTTGAATCCAGGAATCAGTGATTGAAGTCGATGTATTACATTATGTGAAGAGCTCTAAAAAAAGTACACTTTTTTAAATCATAAATTAGTTCAATCAAAAAAAAAAAAAAAGGAAAAAAATATTTATACAAAATTTTTGCTGCAAAGCAAAACTATTTTAAGTCCATTTTTGGCAAAATAGACTTTTTTGGTTTAAAATACTCCTTAGGTGCACAAAATTCATAACACAAAATATGGAACCAAAATTTGATTCAACTTTTGCAACTATGAGTAAAATTTAAATAACTTATGTCCTGAAAAAAATCATTAAAAAAAATTGTAGCTGCAAAAAAAAACTATCCTAAGTTCATTTTTTAGCAAAAAAAAAAACTTTTTTAGTTCAAAATACTTAATACATATAATAAATAACTAAAAACAAGTAGATTTATTCAAAAAAACCAAAAGCAGTAATTAAATTTTAAACTTTAAATGTCTTTTTCTCAGAGCAGCCAAAATGGACATAAGATGATCTTGTCTTGCAGCGGCAATTTAATTTGTAAAATTTTTTCATATTTTATATAGATTTAAGATTATCTTATTTTATATAGATTTAAGATAACAAGTCCATTTGCTACTCATAAACTTAATTTTTTAATTTTTTATTTGTTATATTAAGATAAAAATTCTATAAGCATTTTAAAAACAATTTGGTTGAATTAAGAAGATCAAACGCAGTGATAAATTAACAACTTTTAATGTCTTTTTCTCAGAACAGCAAAAATAGATTTAAGTCTTGTTTTGCAGCAACAAAATAAAGCTACCAATGCAAATCATTTTTTTTTTCTTTTAAAAGAAATTTTACATAAAATACTAGCTTTCAAACAATATAACTTTTTTTGGTTAAAACAGTAAACTATCAATATTCGAACTTACTGGTTCTGAATCTGAGGATTCTTCAGTATTTTTTTCCCGAGACTTTCTAAATTTCATGACAAGCAGCTTTATACAGAATATTTTGCCAACTGTCATTTGATGTTCATCTAAAGAATGTAAATTATTAATTAAATAATTTGAAAAACTTCCTAAAGATTCATAGGTTGCCACTTCAAAAATAACATGAATTTTTTTTTAAATTCATAACTCTCTTGACCCTAATCTAAAAAACACGACCCAAACGTTTCTTTGCAGAGAAACAGCTTAAATGCTTCCATAGGCAAATGATGGATTTGAACCTCTAAACTCTCGATTTTGAGCTGAAAGTTCTACTAATAATCTACTACCACATGAACACAACATTTAGTTCATAAAATGAAAATTAAGTGAATTAAAAATTAATAACAATGATTATGAAAACCAGAAAAAAGTTACACTAATTTTTACAATTAAAATATTACCCACAATTAAAATATTACCCATAAAAAAATTTCAATTATTCAAGAAATAAAAATATTCAAAACTTTTATAAATTAATTATTTTGTTGCATTATTAATGTTTTAATGTTTATGTTTCATTTTTTAGATTTTATGCTATTTTTAGGTGTCTAATTTTTACTATCTTATTTTGTTTCGACAATCCGATAATTACTTCAAGAAAAACCATAAAAAAATAAAAACATCAGAAAAGGCATCAAACATAAAAAAAAATCTAACAAAATCATGAGCACTGATGCACCTTTGTTTTAAAACTACCAATTAATTCACTCCATTTAATTGTTGCAGAAATAATACCTTCAAAGATAGACTTGATAATTCAAATTCTTAACTGCATAACTCATAGTTAGTTATTTTTTTATAAAATAAAAAATTTAATTTATAGTTTTAAAACTTAAAATAAAACTAAAAGTATAACTAAAAATAATGAGAAACCTGTTGAGTTAGGAAAAAACTTTTGAAGATTTTTAATTTTCGGCCATAAAAATTTAATTGTTGTTTTTAGTTCTTTATCAGATTCAAAGCTGTCTCCTTTAGTACAAATGTCCAAACTAAGACGAACAAGAGAAAGTAAGGTAGTATAAAACGACACAGTTCCATCAGGATTAACAGGCATATTCATGCGAATGAGTCGCTATACAAAGAAAAAAAAATTAAAATTATTAAAATTAGATTACAAAACTAAAACGTAAATTCCTAATTAACATTAGTAGAATCTAGCTAATTTTAAACTGTTGATAAAAAGTATAAAATAACAGCATAATAATAAACAAACAAAAAAAATTAATGCAAGTACTAAAATTATTACATAATTCTGTATAAATAAAAAAAATAAAAAACTAATATGTAATATATATAAATTAATTTATGTATAAAAAAAATAACTGTTCAATTATATTAAAGTGTAATAAAATAAAAAAACAAACATTAAACACCTTGTAAGCAACAACTTTAGGACATTTGTGTCCAAAACCAATTGGGGGAGATAAATAACACATCATTCCATAAAGTTTATCATGAGAGATTGTTCCTCTAAATATTTTTAGTTTTAAATTAAAAAGACTTGAAAAAAGTTGTATAGTATAACTATGTAAATTATTAGCATAAATACATACGATGCTTGTGGATCAAATTCAGACCAGCATCTAATAAACTCATCTATGTGATGTGGCCCAAGTATGGAGGTATCACGCGTTAAATACTCAAAGTTATCCATGATTACTGCGACAAACAGATTTAAGAGCTAAAAAATTTAATTAATGAAAAAATTATAAAAAATAAGTTTAATCACAAATTTTAAAACCTTTTGTTTCTAAAGAGATTTTCAACCTTTTGCTAAGCGGCTATATGTGAAATACCAGGCTACATGTGGCCTACCAAGGTATATATGTTTAAGTATTTACATATAAGATATATATACAAACTATATATAAATAAACTATATATGTTATATATATTTTTATATATAATATTATTGGTATCCTAGTGATTTAGTGTGCTGTTCTCTAAATAGACATCTTTATAATTTTATGGTTTCAAACTTACTGTTAAGCAAGAAAACTATAAAGTAACCAAAAATATTAAGCATAAAAAACCATCACCACCACTAAACAGTTTAAATATATCTTTCACTAAATTTCCTGGTTCTCGAAGTAACTTTCTATTAAATCTTTTGCAAAATTCACCAGACTTACCTGTTTTTTTTTCTTTCTTTTCTTTCAATCTCAGTATTGATGGTAGTATTGATCCTCTAACCATTCTTTTATGTGCTTTTATGTAACATTTCTTCACTCTATCGCCTTTTTTTTATTCTTTATCATTCTCCTTCTTGTCAAGATTCTTTTAAATGTAAGTTCTGATCAAATTGATCCCTTTCTCTTTACCCCTCTGTCAATATTGTTGTTATTGGTGACTTTAGTGCTCATCACACTGAATGGTTTTAACACCACTGATGCTGCTGATAAAAAATTCTGTATTTTTTTAATCTGTTACTGTGATAGTTAACTTTGTAACTAGACTTTTAGACAAACCTAATCACATACCTTCACTCTTTGATTTGTGCTTTGTCTTCCTAGCTTAGTTCAGCTTCTCTTTATTTTCCTTTAGGTGGTTTGGACCATGCAATAATCACTATAATTCTTTCATCTCATACTTCTTTTTCAGTCTCATCATATTATCTCACTACTAACTACTACCCTAAAGCTGACTGGAATTTTTTTGTGGTTTTCTTTGTGATGGTCCTTGGGCTGATGTCTTTTCTCTCTCTGCTGATATAAGAGCATCCTGGATCCAGACAGGTATGGAAGCTTTCTGCCTTGTCAGTTCCAATTCAAGCCTCATTCTACACCATGGTTTTTACCATCTTGTGCAATTAATATTTAACCGTAACCATTTTTTCAACTTCTTCAAAAGAACAACTCACTTAAGAACAAACCCCTATTTATTATTGCAAGAAATCAATGTAAAAAAGTGTTATTTGGTACAGTTTACTATATCCAGAAAACCCTGTTTATTATATCTCAGTTTACTATATCCAGAAAACATTCCTGTCATAGTCTTACTGGTCCAGACAACATTCGTATCATAATTTTGAAAAAGTCTCTTCAATTCTCTCTAAACTATTTAGTAAGTGCTTGACTGAATCTTGTCTTCCTGCCTGTTGGAAAATGGCATCTATGGTTCCAATTTTTTCAAAATGCTTTGTAAGCGTAGTTAGGTGTGCTTCATCTGCAAAACTTGAGCCTCTCTCCCAAATCCATAAAGATGCATCTCTTGCTCTTTTTAACAAATACTATCATGGTCACTGCTTAATGGAGCTATCATCTTTAGTTCTATTAACCAAAACTCATTCTTGCTTTACTTGCCATATAGCAAATCACATCCTTTTATGGTATCTGTCCCTGCATGCTCTAAAAAACTTTATCCATCTAGTCTTCTTCCTTTTGCACTTTAATCTTTTGAAACTCTCATTTTCATGTTTTCCTGACTTCAACAACTTTTCAAGTCTTCTGTCAACCATTTTCTTGTTCTTTAACTCTATTTTTTGTTTTACCAACTACTAACTTAATAGTATTTGCTTGCAGCCTTGTTTAGAAAAAAATTAAAATATGCGGTCTACCAAGCCACATATTTGGCTTAGATGTTGTCCATATATTACGCCATGTTTTAAAGGGCAGGGGGGGGGGGAAAGAGTGGCTAATGGTTTTGTGAGGAGGGGGAGGGGAGTCTAAAACGGTCAAAAATTGCGTGACATAATTTGTGGATGACCCCTTACTAAACTACATATGTAGCCTAAAAAACTATTTTTGTGTGGCTTGATAAAAAGGCATTTAGAACTTTAAAATTTAATTTCTGCAGGAGGTTTTTCTTAATATAAACACAAAAAGTGATTACTGCATTAAATGGAATTACAAATGGAATTAGTTGCATACATTTGGTAAACATATGAAACAATTCTCTAATACCGAGATTGTAAACTAATGCTTCCTTGTTGCTTAAATAAATTTGCAAATAAAAAACAAATATCCCCAAAAAATATAAAGATGGAAGAGAGTTTCAATAGAATGAAGTGAAAGAAAAAAAAAGCGAACAAAAGTTTAATAAAAAATAAGAATAAAAGAATGAAAGTTAAATGGCAAGAATGAGTTTTAGTTGATGGAACTAGAAATGATAAGTCTTTCGACCATGACCATGATCTAACCACTGCAAGCCTCATTGTTACAGAAATGAAAAACGAGGATACAGAGTGTATGGAATTTGCAGAAAAAAAAGTGACCTGTTATGTTTAGAAAGAATTGAATTAAAAAGAAAAAGTATTGAAACAAAAGGTTAAGTTTATAGAAATACAAATTGTAAACTTAAAAAAAAGAAAACAAAAAAGTTAATTTCTTATTAACAAATGGTGTGAAACTGTCTTATTTTAATTCATCTTATTGTTATTATTATCTTAAGTTGTTTCCCCTTCCACAATTTTATTTTATTTTGTGATTTATTGAAAAATTTTGAAATTTATTTCTCTTAACTAGAATGAAAAACGCTTTGTATGTAAACGATTGTGCCTTCCATAAGAGTTTTTTTGATATAATAAACTAGATACTTGGTCTACAGTTTTTTATTTTCAATATTTTTTGTTAGTTGTCAAGATTATTTTGTTTTGTTTTTTTAGCTTTTTTAAGTTAACTGCTTAACAGTATGTTAAAAATGAAAAAATTTGTGTTTTAGTCATTGTTATGACTGACTTTTCTGAATATCATTAAGTTTAATTTGGTTTAGCAATTCTGAAAACTGTTACATTAAAAAAAATGTATCAAGTACTTGCTTTTGTTGTCTTTTTTTTAATATATATTTCTCAATGGTGTTGTATTCATAGTCTTAATGTTTTTTTAATTTATTACAGGATTAAGTTGTTGTACACAAATGAATATAGTATTCAGTAATTATTTTTAGATAACATAATTTTATGTTTATAAGTAAAGTGGTTGTCATTGAGACAATTTTTGTATTGTTTTGGAAATATTATTAATGGTGGAATTTAAGTATTTTTTAGATTCTCAAAAAAGATACAGGTTTTTAGACAAAAATCGTTGAAAAACATTTTAAAATGAAGTAATAAGTGCTGGAATTTTTTTTTAAATTTTGAGTGGACAACCTGATGCTACATGTTTTTTTTAAACTAAAGTTTACTCTTAAATTAAGATGTATTAATTTATTAATTAATAGATTTCTAAGAAAAAATATCTATTGTTGCTTAAAGGATCGAAATTTGACAGGGATTTATTTTTATTGACAACCTTGATACAGAGGCACAACTTCAAACTTTTTTTAGCAGATTCCAATCTGTGCAATGAAACAGTCATACCATTTGCTACAGAGATAATTTACCAGGAAATGGTTATAAAGATGATGTCATTCCTAAAAATAGAAGCAGAAAAATCAAATTCCAACTTGAAGCACACATTTAAAAAATTCATTGCTGACGCATAAACACTTGTTTAAATTTAAATCAAACAAAAGTAAAACAGAACCTTTTTTTCCAATTATAAAACCAACAATAAGATGTTTTAAACTAAAACTTTCTCAATGTTTTTTTTGAATTTTAGTGTATTTTTTTTCCAGTACCATACCATCAAATAGTATTTGTTATGTTCTCTTTGCAATGAACCATGTGAATATGGCCTTTTCTACGTTTTCAAAATTTGTAGTGCAAAATTTCTCCTGTTTAGATTTTGTGCCATTTTATTTCAGTGAGGTCAATAATATGTTTTTTTTCTTATTACAATTTAATATGGTGTTTTTTGGAAACTATAGTTTGGTGCAACCTCTTTTTTAAACAAACTTTTCTAGACCTTGCAATTTTTATTATAGATTTGTTAGTAAATCCTTATTTAACAAAAGCCATGTTTTTATGCTTGATAGAAACAATTAAATAATTTTTCAATTGAATACTCTTCAAAAATTCAAATTAAAAAAAAAAACAAAAAAAATCTTAAAAATTGAAATTTAAAAAATGGAGTGTTACCAAAGTATTTGTTTAAAAAAAATATAGAAAAGCTTGAGATATCAAGTAATTGAGTATGAATTTTTCCTTATTCATTTACTTATTATCTGATATTTAATTCTCTATGTCACAGCCATCAAGACCCAGGCAACTACTTATAATTTTTCTTAAAAGTTTCTATAAAAGTTTTGTTTATGAAAAAAATTGATTTTTTCAAATTTTTAAAATTTTAAATTTTAATTAGGCTCTCCTCTAACTTTTTCAATAATATCTTTGATTTCAATAAAATCTAAAAAGATTTAAAAACTTGGAGAAATTTGATGAGATGATGTAGAATTACTGACAAGAAAAAAAAGTATACAATAAATATAAAATGAACAAAAACATTTACAATCTTAAGATTTAGTTACTAAAAGAAATTATAGAGTGTAATAAAAAGAAATTATAGAGTGTAATAAAAAGAAATTATAGAGTGTAATAAAAAGAAATTATAGAGTGTAATAAAAAGAAATTATAGAGTGTAATAAAAAGAAATTATAGAGTGTAATAAAAAGAAATTATAGAGTGTAATAAAAAGAAATTATAGAGTGTAATAAAAAGAAATTATAGAGTGTAATAAAAAGAAATTATAGAGTGTAATAAAAAGAAATTATAGAGTGTAATAAAAAGAAATTATAGAGTGTAATAAAAAGAAATTATAGAGTGTAATAAAAAGAAATTATAGAGTGTAATAAAAAGAAATTATAGAGTGTAATAAAAAGAAATTATAGAGTGTAATAAAAAAATGCTCTAAATATTAGTTTGTTTTGTTTGAGTGTAATAAAAAGAAATTATAGAGTGTAATAAAAAGAAATTATAGAGTGTAATAAAAAGGAATTATAGAGTGTAATAAAAAGAAATTATAGAGTGTAATAAAAAGAAATTATAGAGTGTAATAAAAAAATGCTCTAATTATTAGTTGTAAGTGAAAAAAAAAAAAATTAAAATAAAAAAAAAAAACTACACAAATGCATTAAAATACAATTAAATAAAACTATTTCTAATTTAAAAGAACATCACACACAAAAACAGTACTTACAAGAAACATACAGAAAAATATGTATGATGTAAAATACAATATAGCCAAACCAGTATGACCACATGCAATATTTTTAGTTTTTAATGTATAAATATCATCACACTTAGCTGAAGCATAACATGCATACATAATAGCACTCCAATTGTCACCAGTAGAACACCTAATTTAAAATATACAATAATATATATATATATATATATATATATATATATATATATATATATATATGTATATATATATATAAAATATATATATATGTATATATATATATAAAATATATATATATGTATATATATGTATATATGTGTATATGCATATATATATATATATATATATATATATATATATATATATATATATATATATATATATATATATATATATACATATATATATTTATATATATGTATGTATATATAAGATATTATATATATATATATATATATATACATATATATATATATATATATATATATATATATATATATATATATATATATATATATATATATATATATATATATATATATATATATATATATATATATATATATATATATATATATATATATACTTATTTAAACAATTTTAAAAATGTATTCTACAAAATAGAGTGCTCAATGTTCTTAAGATAACAGAGATAACATTTAACAATTCATTTTACACTGTGTTTCATCAACAAAGACTCAGAAATTTTCTGATGAGTCTTTGTTGATGAAGCATAGTGTAAAATAAAAAAATATTTTTGTTAAGTGATTTTCTACTAATTTTTAATATATATATATATATATATATATATATATATATATATATATATATATATATATATATATATATATATATATATATATATATATATATATATATATATATATATATATATATATATTTATATATATATGTATATATATATATATATATATATATATATATATATATATATATATATATATATATATGTATATATATATAAATATATAAAACTATAAAAACACAGTGATGTTACACTAAAATAGCATGCTGCCGGGCGCTTCAGTACATACATCAACTATCTTATAGCTTGCCACCACAAAAGAGCACCGCTACATTGACTTAGGGTTCATTATGAGGTAGCAATATTTTCTTTCATAATTTTTTTCTTCTTTTTCTGAAAAAATCATATGCTTTAAAAATAAACAAAACTAGTATTCAAATACTTATATAAATAGTAGATTATTTTAGCGAGACCAATGGTTTGTAAAAGTTACAAATTTCAATTTTAAAAAGATGTTTCTTTATAAAAATTTACCCAGAGAAGTACTGAAGTATTGGTAGATTTTAAATAAAGGAATGATATTAATATTTGAAAAATGCATTTAAGTTTTAAAACAGATTAATTAATGTAAAATTATTGGTCACTCTGTTATAATCTCATGTTTTTTTTTTGCTTTAACATCTTTGCTTCCAACCAGGCTGTGAGCAACCACTATTAGAGAAGGAAGTTACTGAAAGAAAAAAAATGAAGATTGTAGAGCAAGATAACAATGGACAGGCAACTTAAATGGTTGTAGGTTGTGTGAGTCAGGATAACATAAAGATGGAAGAGAGTTCCTAATAGATAAAGTGCAGGGAAAAAACTAGACAAAAAAAAGTTTTTAGAGCATGAAGAGACAGATCCAGTAAAAACCTTTGCTGAATAATAAGTCAAGCAAGAATTAGTTTCAGTTGATGCAACTAGAGATGATAGGCCCTTTGAGCAGCAACCATGATAGTATTTATAGAACTGAGTAAGAGATGTACATTTACCACTACTGGAGAGAGGCTCAAATCTCGACAATAGAGTGGTTCCAACTCTATTTACAATGCGTTTTTTGATCTTGTCTAGAAGAAAAAGTGCACCATTAGAAAAACCAGCCCAAATATGACAACAGTATTCTATACAGGGGCAAATAAGAGTTTTATAGTGGTAGAAAATAAAAATGAAACAACCTTAGCATTTGTTATTTTAGCAATGGATTGTATGTATGGTTTCCGAGAAATGTATGATTAGTAGTGAACAATAATCCAAAAAGACATAAAGTAGATGATTCAGTGAGAGGGTTGCCATTCATTAACATAGAAATTAATAATGAAATAAAACAGTTTTGAAGTTTCATAAATATTTATACATAACATATATAGAATAAAGAGTTTTTAAAAAGCTTTTTTGCGTTTTTAAAATGCCTTTTGTTCAATAAATAGTTTAAAAAATATTTTTTGACAGATTTTTTAGACAGATAACATGGGTATGTGGTCGAAGTGGTTAGCTTGCAGAGTTTCTGAAACAAAGCACGGTGGTTAAAATCCATCCACCGGCACCTTTTTTTTTTTTTAATCCTTTCCAATTTTTTTATGTTATATACATAACATATATAAACATATTATATACTAAAACAAACAAAAGGGAGAGAGTTTTTAAAAACACTTAAAATTTCAATAAACATAACAGCCATAGAAAGTTTTGCGCATGTCACAATAGAGATGCTTAGCTTATTTATGTTTTCAGGTAATTCAGGTAATTCAGGTAGTTAAGTCTGCCAGTTTAACGCACATTAAAGAAACAACTTTTTTTCTTATATGAAATAAGATTTTATATTCAAACTTTTATTTTCAACATAATTATTCAACAGGGCGAGGGTCATAATAAACTGTGGATGCAGGGTTTAAAGGGCCCGAGAGGTGATATATAGATGGGGTCCTCATGGTAGCAAAATACTTAGCAAAAATAAATTAAACCCTTAATCACATCAATTAATTCAGCACGTTTAAAAAAATAAATCCATATGTAAGGTTTTAAAAATAATTTTTTAATTTCCAAATTGCAGCATCACACCACTATATTTTATGCATATTATAGCCAATAGGGATTGTAATACTGGTTATCGGTTTACCGATAACTACCTAAATTTGAATCAAGTTTTTTACCGGTAAATTTTCGTAATTTACTGGTAAATCAAGATCTTTGCTATGTAAGGATTGTTTTAATTTCTAATTGCTGAATACTTTTACCTAATAAAGAAGTTACTATAAATATTAAATAAGTTATTCATTTTCTTGTTGATAGATTAAAAATTAAAAATATAAAAGTGTAAAGCACTCTTTTGTTTGAACATAACGCTTGAGTAAACTTAATGACTCTAATTTATTTAAAAAAAAAAAAGAAAGCGCAAAAGAACCGGCAGTTACAATAGCATCGAAAACTACTTTTTTTTATCAAAAAAGAGATGATTCTCTTGAAGCTGTACTTTCAAGAATAATTGCACAAGATGGCATTCCTTTCAACAAATTTTGTAAAAATAATAAACTACTGCAAAAATATGTTAAAAAAACTGCCGGAAAAGAACTTTCTTTAATTTTAGACTGTAAAACTAGATGGAGTAGTTTATTAAGCATGCTGGAAAGATTTTCAAAAATTAAAGATGCTGTTTGAAAAAGTTTGATAGATTTAAAAATTGACATTGATTTTAATGAAAGTGAAGTAAAATTACTTTTAAATATAATATCAAGCTTGCAACGTATTAGGTTGGCCATTAAAACACTCTGCACTGAAAATAGTATATGTAGACAATCTTACATTAAAATTTATGTTAGACGAGTTAAGTAACCAAATGTTGATACACTATATAACAGACCCTAATGATATTATTTCTGTTAAAGACAATTATGGCATTTTTAATATCAGCAGTAAAGCCGTAATTATTAAAACTATTATTGACATAGTAGAAAATATTTTATACAATAATGCGAAACCTGGTGAGAGTATTTAAAGACACCTAAATGAATCAGATTTGGATTTAAATAACAACCTTATTACTGTTAAACCAAATACTGATTTTTCTATGAACAAAAAACTTCATCTTTTTTTTAAAAAACAAACGGACAAGAATAAAGGGAGTACGCTTTTACAAGAAAGTAACATAAAAGGTCTAAAAGAAATTATAAAAAAAGAGTTGGACAAGAAAATATACAGGGGAAGTCCAATAAGTGTTGAACCTGAAAGAGTATTTTCAGGAACTGGATTATTTTGTATAAATATTAGATCTCGGTTAGGAGACAAAACATTGAATAGTTTAAGCTTTCTACGAAGCTACTTTTTGAAAAATGATATTTTATAAAAGTTGTATTGATTTATTGATATATAAAGTTTATCGGTAATTTACCGATTTACCAGTATTACAATTTTTATTTACCAAATTACCAGTAAATTAAAAAGTTGGTAAGTTTACAATCCCTAATCGCTATTCTAAAATGGTTTTTCCCAATAACTTTATCAGTATTAGGAAAAATATAAGTTTATTTTCGATTACTTATAAAGAAATATGCATTTGCAGTATTATATTATAACAAGTAATCAGTAAAAAGTTTTGATGATTTTGCCTAACTGTGGACGACCTCATTGAAATCAATTCTTATGTCATTATCGAAATTCGTTAAAATAAGTGATTTGAGGTGCTCTTCACCGAAAAGACTACAAAGGCAATTATTTACAATCTTCAACTTCGAAAAAGCTTGCTCACACTTGACTTGTGTGCAAGGAAGACATAATGCCATATTATATGCAACATTCATATTAGAATATGCAGAACAATATAAATTGTGGCAATGGAGAAAATGAAGAACGTAACTCAAACATCTGTTTTCAGTTTTTTTTGGAGGAGCATTTCTCTGATTCAGTTTCATCAGCCCTACTAACTAATGGGAAATTAGTTGCAAATGATGTTATCTCTGTGCACAGTTTTTTCTCTGTATACCAGCAAAATTGGCTAAATCATAAAAAATATAGTTGTCAATATAATCAAGCAAAGATTAAAAGTTTTGAGGATCCAGAAAAGCAATATGCCTTAAGATACCAACATCATTTCCTTTGAAACTTTGATTGCTGTAGTGGCAGTATCCACAATAACATAGAACACATTACCCTTAAACTCCCTTACTAGGTCCTGAAATTCTTGCCTGCTTTCATTATTTGTATTTTTACCAGACATTTACTTTTTTTGTCAAGTTATTTTTTATGGGAGCTCAATTTCAAATGTTTCTTTGATATCTTTGTTAGCTTCAGATATGAAACTATAAGCCAATATTGCAAATAATTCAGTTTGCATGAGGATATCAGGAAATTCTTCATGGACTGCAATGAGGTGGTTTAAAGTGGTTTCTACCATCTTCATGGCAACTAGAAGATCCAAGCCATCGTTTTGTAAATATTTTGAAACAGATACGCATATATTGAAAATCTGCAAATAAACAATTGCAGTCAATACCATTTCAAATTTTATACAGTTTTTCATACTCAAAGACTCGTATGCAACTTTGGTCTCAAATTAATAAGTAAATATATGGTGAAATACATAAATCAGAAGAGCAAATCGATCAGCTAGCAATGAAGAATAATTTCCAATTACACCTTCCAGAGCTTTATCCTTTGATGTTGATTGTGTATAATGGATCATATCTAACCTCTTGACTTTTTCTTCTACAGAACCTGCCAGTTTCTTCCACATATTCATTCTTTTACTTGAATGTTTCATGAAAACAGATGTTGCTTCCAGTAACCTAAAGATGTTCTAAGACTGAATAATACAACTTGTTCAATCCGTCATTAGCAGGTTATTTTGCGTGTATATATTGCGTATATGTTTTATATAAGCCCTGAACTTATATAAAATAAACACATATGACTCAATCTAAACAAGAAATTTAATGTTTTTTTTGTAATAAATTACTCTACTACTGATAAATAATAATAAAAGGTTTAAATAACGTTTACATTGTTTTTTTTAAATGACTACCATATTTATTATATTGTCTTTGTAAAATTAATGGATATAATCAATAAATAGTCATTATTAATTTGTATTTTTGTGTGTTTTACATGTAAATGCATCTTGATTTTTAGAGGGGCCCAGGATTTTTAGGCATGGTAGGGGTCCAGGGGAAATTCCCTCCAACCTCCCTACTTAATCCAACCCTGTGTGGATGTCTGGACCAAAAATTTCATAAAAACCTAATAAAAACTTAGAGAAAAAAGTTTATAGGTTTTTTTTATTATAGAAGTTTAAAATTTTACAATAAGAAATTATAAAGTGTTGAACATTAATTGTTAATTTAAAACAAAGAGTTGACAGATTTCTATTTTTTAAAACTAAAAGTTATTGAAGAACATAAATCTAAATATTGAAGAACATCTAAATATTATTTGTTTACTTTATATTATACTAAATATATAAATCTAAATATCATTTGTTTACTTAAACAGGTATATCATCAAATAAATATCATCCGAAGACATCAATAGATAGGTAGTATTAGACATCATTAAATAGTTATTATCATATAAATGTTGAAAGTTTTTACAATTTATTAACACGCCAGGTAAAAACTAATTAAAAAACTTAAAAGCAAAAATTGATTTTGCATTCATTATCATACTCTAAGATATTATTAAAAGAATTCTCTGAAACTCCAGTAATATAAATTTATGAAAAAGCTGTATGTTGATACCACTATTAGTAAGAAAAATTGACAACTATAAGTATATTGCAAATTTATGGTGTAATTTTTCATTATTGTGGAGTAAGTTTTTTATGGATGTTTTAGGGAAGAGGTGTTTTGTGCTTATAAAAGTTAAAAAAAGTTTTCCTTTGCACTAACTATCATTTATTACACAAATCAAAAATTACCTAAATAATAGAAGTAATGCTCGATAAACATTGCGAAAGTTATTCTTATCATGAAAAACATTACCATCTAAAGCAATATTGCCAAAAAGCTAAAAATATTAAAAAACAAAACAAATGAAGAATACAATCATAAATGAAAAAAAAACTAATTAAAAAAATGACTGCATTCCTAACACAACTGAAACAAAAAATAACCAACCTACATCTTATTACATTAAAAATATAGAAACTATTTAAAATATCATGAAACAACTACCTGCATCCCGATTACAGCATAAACATATGACATAAGTAGAATTAAGCCAGTTACATAGGGCAAAGCCTAACACACAGAACAAAAATTTAAAATTAAGTTTTAATTTTGATCTAGTGGGTTTTAACTTTATACAACTAACTTACAAAGCTCAACCACTACACCATTACCACATGCATAATGGTAGTTACTTGAAAATAATTTTTGTAATAATGAAAGCATGTTGACAAAATTCAAAAGATTACTGTCATTATTAAAACTATCAACTTTTGTATTAAATTTTTTTATTATTAAATTAGTATAAAAAAATTTAATACAAAAGTATAAAAAGTATTAGTATAAAAAACAGTATAAAATTTATAGTAGTCTTATTATATATATAGTATTAAATTTTGGGAATTTATAAAAAATTTAAAAATTTTCAATAAAAGTAATAATGTATCTTAAAAACACGGACTTTAAAAGATTGAAGAAACGTCCACAGCATGATCCGAATGTTGGTTCCTTTTCGAAGAAGTTTCATCACTCTTGCTGCTCTGAATAAACGAAACATACTTGGATCTAAAAACTTCGAGTTTTTCTAAATATTTAAAAAAACTTATGTAATTAAATATATAATTTTTTTTTATCTTTGTGTTACCCTTATTAAAAAAATTAAAAAACTTTTTTTTTGCACTTTATTTTATTAAATATATAAAAATTTATTAAAATCATGTTGACAGTTTTTATTAAATATGTTTTGAGGATTGAACGAAAATTGCAACAATTTATAAATATGGACACACACACACGTGTGCACTTATATATACATAAACGCACACACACACACACACGCACACACACACACATATATATATATATATATAAACAGTAGCCTGCAAAAGTAACTGGACAAGCGCATAACTGGAGATAACTTTTAAATGAAAAGTCCAATTTATTTTAAATTTTCACTTGAATGCCAAAAAATTGATAACAACTGTAAAAATTAATGAACTTTTACTAAATCTAAGCAATATAATTTTAAAAATTCATTTTATTTAAATATGCGCGTGTAAAAATATCCAGACAGAAAAAAATACTTGGAGTAGTTTTTTTTTTAAACATTTTTTAAATTAAAAATGTTGTAATTTGAAGTAAATTTCTTTAATAGTTCGTCGGGAAACTCTTGGCATTGATTACTACTTGACAGCAACAAGGCATTTAGTCCACCAGCTTCACAATCACATTATTGTTGATTTTTTCCCATGCTTGTTTCAGATTTTGTTTATTTGTTAGTTTACAACCTGAAATTTTTCGATCAAGGTTTCCATTAGATGGAACATTAGATGGATGTTCAATAGGATTAAGATCAGAACTTTGCAAAGGCCATTCCACTAATCGAATTTTTTTGATCTTGAAAAAGTCTTTCACAAGGGTTGAAGTGCTTTGGGTCATTGTCCTGCTGAAATATCCATCCTCGAGGCATTTTGTCTTTAGCATGTGGTAGCATAACATCCTTAATAACATCCTTGTACATATTTTTGTCCATTATGCCATCAATCAAATAGATAGGACCGACACAATCTCTATTGAAGCAACCCCAGACCATAACGTTTTCACCCCTGCTGGTAGCTGGTATTTAGGATCGTTTCTATGGCTTTTTAGTCGACGAACATATCTAACACCATCAAATCCAAATAACATAAACTTAGATTCATCACTAAAAAGTACTTTCGACCATTGTTCACTTGACCAATTCAAATGTTCCTTAGCAAATCTTAATGCTTTTCAATTCTTCATGGAAATAAAAGGTTTCTTTGCAGGATTTCTTCCAAATAGATTTGCAGACCTCAAACACTTAGTTGTGCCAACACTACAATTTATCTTTTAAAATTTTTCATTTCGGCATTTAACAAGACAGCATTTTTGCGTGGATCATTTTTTGCGGCAAATTTTATCTTCTCTCTCAGATGTTATTCGAGGCCTTCCTGATTTTGGAGAGATTCTATTTTTATTTCTTTCCTTATATCTTTTATATATATCTGCTACTGTTGACTTTTCCTATATCAAACTGATCAGCTATGTCTCTTGTAGTTCTGCCTTGTCCAACTGGATGCAATACCGCTTCTTTGACAACTTAACTTGTATATTTTCGCTTAGTCATTTTTAAAATTTATTATCAAAACAATCTTTTTTTTAATTAAAAATACTTTATGCTTTATTAACCGTTTTTAAACATTAAATAAAAACCAACAAAAGTATTGCAATTTTATTATTTTAGTTCTGCCGGGAAACTTTTGCACATGCATATTTCAATAAAATGAACTTTTAAGATTATATTGCTTAGATTTAGTAAAAATTCATTTGTTTTTAGAATTGTTACCTATTTTTTGACATTCCAGTGAAAATTTGAAAGAAATTGGACTTTTCATTCAAAAGTTGTCTCAAGTTATGTGCTTGTCCGGTTACTTTTGCACGCTATTGTACATATATATATATATGTATGTATATATATATACACACACACACACATATATATATATATATACATATACATATACATATATATATATATATATATATATATATATATATATATATATATATATATATATATATATATATATATATATATATATATAAAAACAAATGTAATTTATAAGTGCATTGCATCATTCCCAAATACATGCTTTGATGCTTATTAGTCTGACATGATTCTAAAATAGAGGGCAGTCAGGGGCTTCAGTACATACATTGGTTGACTAAATAGGGAGAGTATGCAAGGATTGCTGTTACATTGTTTAAGATTTTGGGTTAGGGCAGCAATTATATATATATATATATATATATATATATATATATATATATATATATATATATATATATATATATATATATATATATATATATATATATATATATATATATATATATATATATATATATATATATATATATATATACATATATATATATATATATATATATATATATACATATATATATATATATATATATATATATATATATATATATATATATATATATATATATATATATATATATATACATATATATATATATATATATATATATATATATAACAAAAGTCAGCTACAGCTGTACAAGCAACATAGCAAAAATTATAAAGAACCACAACAATAAAATTATTTCGATGAACCCAACGGCCACTTTAGCTTGCAATTGTAAACTAAGCAAAATCTGCCTATGAACGGAAATTGCAGAAAAACAAATGTAATTTATAAGTGCATTGCATCATTCCCAAACACATCCGACAAAACATACATTGGTTCAACAAAGGGCATGTGAAAAACTAGATGGGCGAATTACAAGCAATCCTTCAAAAATAAAAAACTCACAAATGCAACCACGCTTTCTAAATATATATGGGATACACAAAATAAAACAAACACAACACCCAATTTAAAATGGTCCATCATAAAATATGCCCCCGCGTACAACAACATAACTAAAAAATGTTTGTTATGCTTATACGAAAAACTAATTATTTTATTGTATAAAAAGCCTCAAGAATTATTAAACAAAAAAAACAAACTAATATCTAAATGTCGCCATGAGAACAAGTTTTTGCTGGACAACCACAAACCAAAAGATTAGATTTTTGAACTCATTTTCTTTTGTACAGATTTATTATTTTTACGAAAAAAAAAATATATTTACACCTGATGATTGCATTTAGCATGAAATTAATAGTTGTGAAAAATATGCAGTTTTATTTATAAATAATATATGTAAACACAGCTCTGTTTTAATTTAAATCATTTTAATTTACTTTAATTCATTAAGCACTCTCGCAAAGATATATGCACTAATACGTCTGCCCAGACAAATTACAATGTCTGCACAGATCTGCGCATGTCTGCGCCGACAGTGCAAACCCTAATAAATATATATATATATATATACATATATATATATATATATATATATATATATGTATAAGGGTTCGCACTGTCAGCGCAGATCTGCGCAGACATTGTAATTTGTCTGCGCAGACGTCGGCGCCAACAAAATTTATTATTACTGCTAAAATATACTAAGGTTCGTCTCTCGGCGCAGATCTGCGCAGATATTATTATTACTGACGATTTATTGAAATCAACAAAAAAAGTTTCAAACTTAAAAAATGTTTTAAGTAATCTTTTAACTTTATTATAAATTCAGTGATTAGTAACAATAGCAGTTTTCAAAGATTCTTACAGTAATAAAAATATATAATGCTGGCGCCTATTCGGTGATTTCTTGACATTCAATTTCATTGAGAATTGCACCTTCTTCAAGAATGTAATCAGTCTTGTCATTTGTGTCCATCAGCACGCTATTGGTATACAAGAATACTAGCTTTTCAACTCTCTCATTCATAAGACGATTTCTTAGTCGCGAGTGAATAAATCGAAAGGTCAACCAAGCTCTTTCTACTGTAGCCGATGAGCAGATCATTTCGTTAATAGGCTTAGCAATTTCATAAAGAGCAGGATATTTATCGCGACCGATAATGTTCCAATAATTTTGCGAGTTCATCTTGAATATTGTTTCCTTTCTTCTCTCAGGCAGCACAGAAATTTCTCCTATATAAGCAATCAATTCATCCTCAGCAGTGGCAGCAATTTCAGGTTTGATCTTATTGGCGAATTCAACTGTAGCAGTGATAAAATTGGTTTTATCTTCATTCAAATATAAACCTTCTGCGGCATTTTTGGGCGTTAATATGAAAGCAATTCCAATACATGGTGTAAAGAGAAAATCGAGGCGAGATTGCACTTTTTGTTGTATGTCTTTATCGTCCATATATGAATGGTACATTTGACCAAAGTATACATACACGAGAGACAATGGAGCTGTATCACTTTCTAGCTTTCCGATCACGTTGGAAGGAAATTCAATGCTTTTGACAAGCTTAGAGAGACGGTCCCAAAATGGGTTAGATTTTATCAACGCCATAACAGCAGCAGATGTATTCTTTATTTGAATTTTCTTCAGTAATGGACTTTTTTCGTCTACCAA